TCTTCCCCATGTCTTAGTCCCACCCACAAGATGTGAGGAAAAAAATGCAAGGAAACCATGAGTAGAAAGGACCCAAGGAAACAAGATAGTGATAACATGAGACATCCTTTCCTCAGACTTTCATCTGAAGCATCCAAAGAGAAATCGAATTTTTGATAAAGGGGTGTGCCAGTTCATAAAAAACCTCTGCAAAGGATAGTCTCCTGTATTCTCACTCATGGCTCCTTTAGCAGCCTCCTCACTCCTCAGTGCCAATATAAGAGACTTAGAACTTCCTCAGTCGACCCGAAAGTCATTCCAGAAAGACATTTTAGAGAGTTGGTATGCATCTGTAGAAAGAGATAAGACTTACCTGGTAGGTTTGGGTGGCTGAGCATCTGATTTCTTCTTCATCTGGCCTGCTTCTCCAAGGTCGGCAGGGGTTGCTGGGGTAACTAGCTCATCAATGCCCCGCTCCATTGAGTCCTGGATGGTGACATTGCACACTGACAGACAGGAGGGGTGCAGAACGGTGTAGTCCCGTACCCTCCCACCACCTCTCCCTGCAGGCTTGGCTGTTGTTTTAGTACTGGCTGCAGTACCACTTGAGCTAGCAGAAAGGACACTGTTGGTTTTATCTTGAGCACTCGCTGCTTCAGAAGCCTTGCTGCTGTTGTTTTCAGCAGGTTCAGAGAACATTTTGTTATGCCGGTTGGGCCTCTGGTATTTCTTGCAGTTAGAAGCCCTAAGGGTAAATGGAGAAGGGGGAATGTTGTCCACTGGTTCTGGTGGAGGCTCTGTGGGAGGCTCCAGCTCAGCACTTTTCATCTCTTCTGATGGCAGTCCATCATAACAGGAAGAGGTTTGGCTGTCACTGCTACCACCTGGTGCATCAGTGGACAGTTTAAGGAAGGTGTCTATATTTGGAAAGGAAGAGATGGTGCTGTGAGATGCTGAAACACACTGAACATCAGAAGGGACTCTGTCTGAGAAAGAAGAGATGCCTGCAGGTTTTTCATTGCCATCTGGTATACTTTTGTACCAGGGTAAAATTACAAATGATCACATAAAAAGCTAGCACTGCAACTAAATGGCTAGCAGACACTACTAATGAAATAAACATGGACAGATAAAAGATGTGGACTACATATAATACTGTCAGGTGCAAACTGAGGCATAGATACATTAGTTAAGTTTATGTATTGATTACTTACCAGTGAAGGTGGCTGTTGAGCTTGTAGAGCAGTGTGCAGATGTCACAACACTGGCTGTCTCACCACCCTGCACTGCAGTCATCTCTTCCACATCCCCTTCGCTGGCTTTTGACTGGGACGCAGTGTGAGATGTTACAGTCTTGGACTCATCATCACTGTCAAACCCAAATGGGTCTTCTTCACTGTTACTGTCCTCAAGCCTGGGTCTCTTGGGAAGCTCAGAAAGGTCAGGTTTTAACAGAGGCTTTTTGGCCCCCAACTGGGCCTTGTAGGTGGTTTCTCCCCATTTGGTGGTCAGTGTGGGCTTTTTATTGGAGAACACCTCTTCAAATTTCGAATTAGCTTCCCCTCCCTTGCGGTTGTATGTTTTACCAAATCTGGATGTCATGTCGGTTGTTTTATGTTACATATTCTCTATGAACAAAAGCAGAACATTCAACAATCATATAAGTAGGCAACGTACAGCTGAACTCATGGATGTATGACAGTAACACTGTATAAAGTGTTAAACCCATAAGGCCGCAATGTACGACATTTCAGAACAAGCAAAAATAAATAACCTGCATTGATCTTCAAAAATGACACTGCCGAGGTTGGGTAATTAACTTGGCGTTAGCTCGTGGGTTATGTGTCAACTAGATCCAGCAGCATAGCTATCGAATAATATTATCATTAGTAGGCTAACTGTTATATGACCAATAGAACAAACAGCTACATTTTAGCTATGGACATTTGTAAAACTTGTACTTAATTTCATCACCAAACGCCACGGCAGAATAATTAATTTATCTAGCTACGTCCGCTAACTCAAGTTAGACCTGCTCCTGCTTGTAAAGTTGCTATAAAGTTAGCCATTAGCTTCAACACTGCTAAATTATGCTAATCCCGTTCAAATTTGGCACCTGATCGTATCAAATATCTGAACTCTTATGTTCTAAATATAACAACGTAAACTAACAAACATTTCGATACGATGTATAACGTTTAAAAATCGTAGTGAGTACAAAAGAAAAGCAGCACACACAGTTACCTTTCAACTCTGACGACTTGCTAACAGTCCGCTTGTTTTTTAGCCAGCCGGCTAGGCCTTATCTCTCACTCTGGCACAAATCAAGCGTGTAAAGTCCGATAGGCACAGAAGAAACAACACCAGAAAGACATCGCAAAACCAAGTATGCACCCACAGCTATACTCGTTACCAAAGAAAAGCCATCTAATCACACCCGTAGCTAGTTTAATCTAAACAGAGTGGATAGTCCAGACTTTTCGCATTTTGTAGTGCTACTGTCGGCCATTAAAACATCCCCTCCCTCCTCGTTCTCTGGCAAGACCCCCATGTAGTTCACAGCAAGAAGGGAGTTGACCAATCAGCGACAGTGAGGTTCTACTGTGATTTGACGCTATCTGCAAACATGACTCTGATTGGTTGAAAACAGAAACCATAATAAACGATAGGGGCCCCTGGAGCGTCACTGTATAATGGATTTTACTTTGAGAATAGGCAAGATAATGTCCTCTGCTTTTAGAAATTATCTAACATTCTTTTCTTTTGTAACAAAACAAAATGTACTTAAAACATTATGTACAAACAAAACTGTTCAGGATTACAACGAGAACATTAAAAATGCAGTTTGTGTACATTTAACAAACATGTTTTTAATAGTGTCTTCACAGCCTTGATGTTTTTAAGATTTCTAATGGTGGCAGTACACAGTATAGAGCATGTACCTGTGATCTTAATAAAATATAATCAAGTATATCTTATAGGAATTTTACAAGCTAGGTCTGAACTGAATGTCCATCTGAAGTATGGTGGAAACAGGAAGTGTAGACTATGGATCACCACTGGCAGTGGTCTGGGCCATAGGTGGTGTCAAATTTGCGTTATAAACAACTCGGGTCTGAAGGGCAAAGTGGTCCCAACTGTATGAACGCTGAAAGGGCCATTACTCAGCCTAGACAGAGATCACAGCATCTCCTCCAGAGCATGGAAATCCTCATAAATATAGGCCATGGGGACACCTTAGTGGAAATGGCTCGTCTCAGCTCAGAAGCAAAGGGATATTAATTTCCCCTGGGAGGCATTTAAAATGTTATGTAGGTTTTTTTTTTTCTCAATTTCACCCAAAGAAAATAACTTACATTGTACAGTCCTATGTTTTTAATCATGCCATGGGGTCACAGTTGAAATAAGTCTCTCACTGCTGTTCTCTGTATCACTGTAATCCCATGATATCAATGGTAAACTGGCAAATAGATGAACATATGAACAAAGTTTTTTTCAGTCACTCAGTTTCTATTATCATTATGCAGTATTTGGACAGATATACAAGTCTGGAAAACACTCATCATATTCAGTCACTATCAAACATATATTTCTGTCATCTGTGTGCATCTGGGCCAGCAGAGAAAGACTGTGCCTCCACATAAAGTCTCAGATGTGGTGAGGTAATACGGCCATGCCCTGGATGACTGATGAATTTGAGCTCAGGTCTTGACAGTATGACAGTCATGACATCATTAACAGGCAAACTTTCCAGCTGTGTCCAGTGCTTTGTATGTATACTGTAGTCCCTCTGAATGTTTTGTAGTCTTGGAATAAATGAGTCAGGAATCAGAGCTATTGCCAAGTGGAATAAAAGCACAGAATTTCAACTTTGCGTGTAACATCTGCTCAAAATATTTGCATCATTATTGGATGGGTAAATTAAGATGAGTGACTGCAACACTGATACAGAACCATGAGATGGCAGCAACACTTGGGGTCACACTTTTTTCTCAGAGTTTCACCTTTGGCCTTTGCCCAGAAATGTAGATTTCTGTCAACTGGGTGCCCAGTATGTTGGAATACTTAACAGAAACAAGTCAAAATAGTTTTAAATGGCTAGTGGGTTAGTAGATAATGATACAAGATTGTGGGTTTCCTAACATAAGCATTTCTCAGTAACATACAGTAGCCTGTGGTGTAGCATATAGCATAGCATGTGGTGCATGGGAATGGAAAAGGGGGGCATATGATAAACATGCACTCATTATTAGAAGCATGCAATTCAAATCTAGAAAGTGGGTAGTCACTGTTGACATTTGATTTAATCTTTATGTACAATGCAGCAAAACAGATATTTCAGCTGAAATGTGGTGTTTCAGTAAAGAAAAACAAAAGCTTCTGCACAGTTTTTCCATTCCAGATTTTACAATTACTGAAAGAAATTTTTTGTAAATCTTGAAGCTATTTGAAGCATGTTGTAGTTTATGCAGTTCTCATGAGGTTTATGTCACCATGTTCATCCAAAATATATGTGGTAAAGAAGAAATTTGTGGCCACTACATCATTGGTCAGATCTCTGTTTGGCTCATACTCCTGTCTCTGAGGTCTGCCTGCAGAGCCCCTAGCCCAAAAATTACACAAGACCACTATCAAGCCCAGTGAAATTAAATTTAAGCCAGATCCCCTTGTGTGTATGCAGTGGTAAAGGAAACTCTGCACACACACATAACATTATGTCAGCCTGAATGAGGTCTATTTCAACATGTGTGGGTCTATTTGAATATGTATAGCACTGAGTGAAAGAGAGATGGAAAGTGGAAGCCCAGATAGCTGAATGGTTACAGTACGGCGCACCATATACACAACAACAAGGGTGTGAGCGACATTGGTAAGTCGCGACTAGCCACCAACCTATGTTGCAGGTCCTCTTCTCCATCTGCCTCTCTGTGACCTACTCTACCCATAATAAAGGCAAAATGCCCAAAAAATAACTTATAAAAAAAGAGATGGTAAGAAAATGAGTATGTCAGTCTGGTGAGTGTCAAGACAAAAGAAGCTAAACTTTTTATTATCTTCTCAGTATGCAACACATAATCATAAAAACATTCTACAGTACTTTAAAAAAAGTTTCGAATACAACAATCATACAAATAAGATTTGCGCAGCTAGTCTCTCAATTGCTTACAATTGCAGTAGAAATCCTAACTGAGCAAAAGTCCATTTTAAAAAAAGACAAAGCAGATAAAACCAATATGTCAATAACCACTTCTTATGTTTGTGACCAAACAATGGTAGCATTGATCAAGGCATTAACAAATAAAAGTGAACACATGAAAATGAAAGTACAAAAGCATCCGTACAGATGTTTCTTTCAAGGCAAAGCCAGATTTTTCCTGGATATGTGGTGCCACTGGCCTTTGGCCATAAGGAAAGAGCGTGTCAGTAAAGCTCTCTCCAATATCAAGTCAACTGGTGATAAGTAAAGCCCAACTCCAGCTCCCACGGTGTGATTTATGGAGGGTCATGGGTCAATCTCCATGGGAATAACAGTGAGGATAGCATCCTCATTTCCACGGCGCACAACTATTCTCAAGGTGTCATCCTTCTTGACAGCAGCACTGACATCAGTTGCTGATGAGATCGTCTGTCCATTGATTGAGATGATCACGTCGTGCTCTTTGAGCCCACCACTGGAGGAGAGAAAACAGAAGAGAGGATTGATCGAGGGCTTTTTAATGATATATCTCACTCCTCTGTTGTCAAATAAAACGCACTAAACACACAGTGGCACTGCGTAATGTGCTCCTTCATTTCAGTGAAATGTGTTGATTTTGAGTCATCAGTCTCACATTCACCATCCTAGTGCTGTAAATATTTACTAGACAGCCAAATGTGTATTAAAACTATGAAAAACATAACATCAAATGCACTACTTACTTCACTTTGAGTAACAGCTAAAAACCACAGTGTCCAGCTGTATTAGGAAATTACTTTAAAATTGTAAATTAGGAAATGAAAGTATGACTTATTCTATAAGATGTATATTTTCAGGAGGAACCAATGGGCTTGGGACTGGACGGGTCCTATAGAGAAGTCTGGTAGTACTGAGAGACACACTAAAACATTGTTGGTTTTAGTGTTTGTATTTGTTGACAATAACAAAAATATACAGTATCACCTCGCCAGCTTTATCCTGTATTGATCAAATGTGTCAGTTTTATGACAGTTCCTCTCTCACACAAAGTGTTCCTATCATTTTCTCTTTAGATTTTAGTAGATAGAATAAAAACAGCAGATTAATTTAATGGCCTATAGATGTAATGGCTCACAAACAACACATTTCTGGTGTTTTATACAAACTCATTTAACTTGCACTTTGCTCAGGTTTATTTACAGTTCTGTGAGCACAGTCTGGGTCAATCCAACATCTGTTGGGAGATTTTAATAATGGAATGATAGAACAGCATGGTTGGGGGGCTGAACAAATAAAAACATGTTGGCCAAAAAAACACCCATAATGAAAAAACGTAAACCTAAAATCACATATAGACCAAGGCTATAACCAGCAGTGATATTAAAAGCTCTCTAAGACTCTCAACATAGCTGCTTAAGAACAGTCACGTGTAAGCACAGACCACCATACCTACATTTGCAGCACCCATTAGCACAACTACTCTGTATTCCCCTCATTATGCTCAACTGCTCTAGTACCTCCAACACAGAAAATGGAAGGTTTTCTACAGCAGGGTCAAGCTTTCCAAAGGGCATAAAATAACACAAAACAGACAGACATCAAAAGCACGAAAGTGCAGCCTAGAAAATAACATGGAATATAAACAGAACCACAGAAATGTTATTATGCAAAAAGTGGGATGAGTAAACTCTGACATGGACTTGTAGGGGAGACAACTCTGGAATACTGTAGTCTGGGTGAGCAAGCGCAGGAAAACCACAGTGCAGTTAGTACCCTCCCTGCATGAGGCCTGAAGGAAACAGCTGACCTCAGCATCTCTTGAACCCCACTCTTCTGGAGTTGTGGTGGTGGCTGATTGGAGTGGGCCTCAATTGTGGGAGTAAGGGGGTAGTTTAGAGGGCCAAGAGCCCAAGCATGCTGGAGTCATCCACAAATTTAAGTCCTACTAAGACAGTTGTGTTGAAGGCTATGTCTGTGTTTGGGTGTGTTTCTATGATTCACAGCTGACAGTTACAGCAGAGAAATAAAATGAAGGAAGGAAATGAAACATACTGTCTATTTGCATTGTGAGAGGTGGGCTAAAGCTGCATGGAGAGTGATGAATTAAGTGCACATGTGTAGCATAAAGTGCCAAAAACAATAAAAAGACTGAGAAGAAGTCAGAGCCAATTTGCATTTGCGCTTCACTGAAAAGCATAATGTTACAAGCCAAGGTAATTTGTACTTTTGGTGCCATATGGGCAAAGTTTCTTCCTTACATTGCAGCTGGTGTCTTTGCAATGACCTCCATAACGTAAGCTCCCGAGGTGATGTCAGGGAAGTCGTGATGTTGAGTCTTCAGTTCTTTGGCCAGCCTAGAGGTAGAAAAGGGACTGAGAATTCAGTAATCAAACACAGTTTTTACATAAAGCAATACAAGAAACATAAATGTTGCAGTTTCTTTTTGTCTTAAGCATAATTAAGGAATCAATTTAATAAATTTCTACAGATTTAAATATTATGCTCCACTGGCAATAAACATAAACGTGTGCAACTTACACAGGAGTGAGAGTCATCATCCTCACACCAATATACTTCTTCTTACCAGCTGCTCTCCCTAGAGATGGACAACAACACATTGCAAATACAATTATTCATCCTCACACCTGCAGCAGTCCAGGTTTTTAGTTTTATGACTGTTGAAATCCTCCAGGGTGTTTTCTGTATGTGCATGAAAGAAATATTACCTCAGACCAGACATTGGGTCACAGACTGTCTTGCTAATCTTGCACATGTTTTGCAGGACAGTATGCACTTTTGCACAACTCCATCTTTTATATTTTTCATCATAAATATGTGGTGTTTTATAGTTATTTCATCATAGCGACAATTCAAATTGAGAAGCCCTGTTGACAGCCACATATCCCAAAACACTATGTGAGGTAAACAGAGAAAAGTAAAGTAAAGTAAAAGAACAGCGTGACATAACCTAGCATTTTAGTTTATTTCACAATTTGCACAGATTCATAAAATTAAAAATAAAGTGACTGTATCTCAAGACAGCACACAGATGAAAAACAACAAGGACTGAAAAAGTATGCTAAATTGTGTGGTCCTTTACCTAATATGCACAAGAGGTCTTGGTCAAACTCTTGCAGTCAGTGTTCAAAATTTGCCTCCTACAGTTTGCCTTGGTGACTGAATAGGAGTAATAAAACAAAAACATAAGTTCTGTCAATGAGAGCTCATACCTCTGGACTGCCTGTCATAGGACTCTGCCAGGAACTGTCGGATTTTATCTGAGGGGATGGCAAAGGATATGCCAGCTGTCACTTTCAATGTATTGATCCCAACCACCTCGCCATCCTAAAATAGCAAACTTGAAGTTAGTGTCTGGAGACAAACAGCTACAAGTTTTAACATTTCATGCGAATAAAAAAATGGGCTCCGTCTGACACAGAATAAAAAATATCTTACTAGATTTACCAGGGGCCCTCCAGAGTTGCCGTACTATGAACCAAAAAGATACATAAATTATTATTTGTGTTTGTGAGGAAAAACAAAGTGCACGTATAATGATAGTGCATTCTTTCACTTACATTGATGATGGCATCAGTCTGAATGTAGTCCATGTCAGAGTTGCGCAGGCCTAGCTCTCTGCCCCCTCGCTGAGTTGTACTGACGATTCCGGTAGTAACTGTATTCTGGAGGGAAAACGGGCTGCCGATCGCGACCACAAACTCTCCTGGTCTCAGGTCAGATGAATGACCCAGCAGGAGTACAGGGAGCTTGGTCTGCAAGCGAGAAACAGAGGGATAACATATTCATATTACTGGAGGACCAAGTTACTAATAAAAAAAGAATGGCTCCTGAGGCTTTGCAAAACAAAACTAATTTTTATGAAGCACAGTAAATAGAAACAAATACATAAAATGCAAAAGTAATGTAAGAATAATAAAGGCAATGGCTTACACGCAGAAAAGGTGTCATTAAGAAAATCCAACGCATAATAGGTATTTAGGCTATGTTACGCCTTCTGATATTTCATGGCACCATAACAACCTGCTGTGTCCTGATGCTTTTCTTTTCTCTCTCCTCTATCCACCCCACCCTGAATGGTCAAGGCAGACGGGCACCCACCAAGAGCCGTGGTCTGTTGGAGGTTTCTTCTATTAAAGTCGGTTTTTCCTCCCCACTGTCACCAAGTACTTGCTCAAGGGGGATTTGTTGGGTTATCCTTATAAGTTCTAAACCAGATTATGTAAAGTGCCTTGAGACAATTGTTATTGTGAATTGGTGCTATACAAATAAACTGAACTGAATTAACTTACTGAACTTGCTTTTCACTATTGAGGACCATACCTCACTCCCATTCTCCCTTCCCACTGCAAAATAAGAGAATAACCAGATGGAAAGGAAGCAAGAGAAACGCATACACAGCTGAGAGAGAGAGGATCAGGTGGGGAAGTAAGGCACTGCCAAGACATTCAGGACTTGGCCACCACTGATCACCATGATTACGATAACAGTTATTGATATTGGCGGTGTCAGGGTGACTGTTGATATCAGGTGAAAACTTTGTAACTACAAAATGTCAACTGTGATTGCAGTTCAGTCTAATGCATTCTGAAACGGAGGTATTTCTCCACCCATCTCAGGCTCATACAATCTCACATAAAATACAATGAATGCAAAATGCATCAGTTCACTGACAACCAAGCAGCACCTATAGTAGCGTAGGGAGAACAAGCACAAACCATGCAGACTCTGAAAGACCCCAAGCTTACATACAGTATCACTTACAAATCGTGACTAGTCAGCAATCTGCAGTGACTTGTGGAAAATAATTTCTACATTTAAGTCTGACTCTCATGATCACCCAAGTGACTCATGTTGCTATTTCAGATGAAGGTTATGATACACTTGTACGTCACCCAGAGACACTATAAGCCACACTTAAAGGAAGGATGCAAGGTGAAAGAGGGAACAACAAACACCACAAACCACAGGAAGGCAAGCTGAGAACGTCAGACGAATGAGTCTTGTTTGATGTTATGTTGATGCATTCTTCCCGGCAGAAATGAGCTTATGACCAAAAATGTTTTTGGTTTGAGCCCCAAAAGAGCACCAATTTGAGAATAGGTTGAAAAATATACCATAAGTGCCACCTGATGTAGTCTTAGAGAAGAGTATCATTTCTAAAAATGAAAGTTTGTTGTTTTGTTAGGCAGGAGATCACGTCATTGTTTCATATTCTTGTTGCTGAACTTCAGCATGATGCCATAGAGTTCTCTCTTTCATGTCGGAAAACGTTCTGGAGTGCTTAGATAAGAGGGAGACGTGGGGCATAAGATTATAGGAGGGAGAATTACAGCAAACAGCTATGTTTACCTTATCCAAAGAATTACTGTAGTTCAAAGAAAGGACGTGCTGAGAAACTTTCTGGACTTTTATGCTTTCTTACTATAGTGAGTTTTGATTCCACCTCCTGCACACAGGTTATTGTGAAGACCATGGCAAAGGGACACTAGGACAGGTAAGTTGGCAGACAAGCAAATAGATCAATACAACAATAGCTGCAGAGTTGCTATTGAGATCTGTCACTGTTACAGCTTCGGTTGTTTGGAGGCTCATTTAAAAGCCATTATAATAACTACCAGTTTATGACTAAAGGCCAGGTGCAAACTTTACCTGCAGTCAAGCTGTGATGGACTGCAGCTTAATGACTTCTGAGGCACGTGCGTATACAGACAGACACACATACAAACACACACACACAGAGGGAGGAGGCCGCCTGGACACGAACCCTCATAAACCCAAAGGCTGTAAGCTAAACCCCACACACCGGGCACTGCTTAGATATACAGGCGGACCACATCAAAATACACACATTCAGACACAGAGGTAGCTCTGGTTGGGTCAGTGTATGACCTGAACAATCAGCTCAACTGTAGTCACTTAAGCTCTTCTTTTTCTTTCATATCAGTGACATCAAAGCAGGTAACACACCCGTACCTTGCAAAATTCATAAGTACACTAAAGTATACAAAATTACAGCTGATGCCTGCACTTGAGCCCTCAGGATTGTGCTAATGTGGATAAAAAATGATGTGGGATTCAATATGTTCGATGATAATGTAGGACAACACAAGACAGGTCTGAGGAGAAGAAGATAAGGCTGGGTGGTGGGAAAGAATGTGTGTGTGTTTGTATGGTGTTTAAGTGATTGTTAGGGCGACTAAGAAAACAGATATGTAGGTGAATGTTGGAACCGTGATTTATAAAGCGATTTTATACACACACTGTAAATATCATAGAAGTAGATGCTAATCAAAGCCACAGTCAACATATCAAGTCAGCCTTTTCTCCACTTCTTTTGTGCACTGTAGGTATCATAAACATGCTCACGTCACCCTAAACCATATCCTTGCCAATATAGAAACCACTACACTTTCCATAAGTTGTTGGTAATGCTTCTAGTCTGTATAAGAGCAAACAAATGTCTGTAATTCTCCATGCCTGTGTTCTACTCTGTGTAGTTTTACATGAGAGCTCCTAGGACCTGAGGGCATCTCAGTTCTGGCTAGACACCACAAACTCTGAATTGCACAAATCACAATGAGAGGAAATGAGGTCTGATGTGTCCATTTGCTTCATCAGGGAGACTTCCTACAGGATATGTGTTTCTGTTTTACCTAAAGTATAATGTCATACATTTATTTACATAGTATGGAAATGTTTTTGCTGTGATGACTGGAGCCCTTTTCACCATTTTCAGGATATCAGCTCTGGCCTGAAACGAAGAAGAAGTCAGGAAAATGGATGAATGTTTCAGTGTCTACACTCTGCATGCAGGAGTAATAATGGCATGAGTGAAAACTAAATCTTATAGTTTTAATATGCCTAGGGTGATTAGTTTGTAGTCTAGACTGTTCTTTGTATGCTGGGGGAGCACAGTGGAATTTCCTCAAGCAACTCAGAGGGTCCCTGGATCCCAGTTTAAGAACCAGAGGATTATAGCCCTCTCTGTATGTGTTGCACTGTCCTAAAGCCTATACATTTGAGTTAGTAGCTAATAAATCACACCACTGACTAAAAGGGCAAGTGGTGGTTCACCCAAACAGCATCTACCTCTAATGGTATCCAGCAATACTAAAGGTTTGGGGTTAAGTTATTAAGGTTTTCAGATATCTCCCTCAGATAACACAACAGAGGCGGCGAGAATCTCTATTCATGGTGGCCATAGCAGTGAAAAAGTAAAAATCTGCAGCTCTTCAGAAACACTGTTAGTAATTAGACTGTCAATAGTTTTCAGTACAAAGTGGTTTCACTGAAAACAATTTACAGTAAGATCTTTGGATTATGCAGAGTAAAGACTTTCTAAATGCCCAATCAGTATACTCAGTTTCAGAGGACGATCACAAACTCTGCATGGCTCTGTGCCTCAAGGGGTAAGTTAGATTTTATTCTTTTCCTTTCTGAATGTACTGCATCATAGCCTTGACTCTATTTAGTGGGAAAAAAGTTATTACAGTTGTGGAGGATTTGAAATTTGTCATGCCTTATACACATTTGAAGTGACAACATTGACAGGCAAACCAAAACAGTTTTGTGCAAGGCTGCTGCCTATCCAGGCTTGGAAAACAATTATGCAGCCAAAAGATAGGCCAAGACAAAGTGCATAAAGACCCAGCAAGGCAAAAGAGTGAAAGTATTTTCTTTGGCTCTTTTCCCACCCAACTTCATGCTTAAGCATGGGAGCCATTTCAGTTAAAGAGACAAGGGATGAAGGAGAGAGGATGGGTCAGGAGGATGTGAATCATTTCCTCTGAAGAACGACACACAGTGCCCTTCCACTGGCAATGGAGCGTGTAATCCACAACACCCAGTAGGAGCAAGTGAGCTGTTCTACACGCATTCATGTGCTTGTGCACACACACATGCACACACTGATTTGAAAACTTGATTGCAAGTTTGCTTTTGTCTGTCAGTACTGTACATCAATGTTGCTGATAAACAGACAGATAAATGCAGGTACACATGGCTACTGTACATGGAGGTACATACCTTACTGCACATAAACAAAGACACATACAAACATATTCCAATAATAGCCCAGTCCAAACCAGCACTGGGCAAATTTCCCAGAGGGCATGGTCTGAGAGTCTTAATAGGCTACTAGGTGATGGATAACACAGAGACAATCAGTGTCATTGTTTTAAGGGACCATATGGGAAACATGAGGCCAGTTTTCCCTGTCACACTCCAATTCTTGTAAAGCTGATTTTAGCTCATTTACAGGAGTTGGAGGACAAATGTAAAATGGAATAAACTGTTCTAACATTAAACTATTTGGATGGTTAATTTGATGAAAGACATACTTGGACAAGCAAAACAAACTTGAGATTTATGATTTGCTTTTACAAAAGATAAGGCTTTGAGGATGAATACAGTAACTACTAATATTAACAAACTATATAATGGATGTCCCAGTCCTGAATGGGGGCTTCTTCTAATGTAACCAGTAATCCCAATGTTTGACATGGGAAGAGTGCATGGCTAATATTACTAATGAACAAAGTAAACTAGTTAGCCAGGCATGCTAAAGTTTGGAGCTCATGTTAGAGCAGAAAAACACATAGTGACTCTTTTGCTACTGTGTTTTTATTTTGTAAAGAGGTCATGAATGTGAAGACCTGGATACTGGATTTCAAAATGAGGCCCTTGTTTGCAGTTGGAGGTGTCTGTCTATGGGGAAAATGCTGTTTGGGCCACAGGGGATTTCTTTTATTCTGTAGTACCAGCCACTTTGACTAAGTGGCAGAAAGATTTAGTTGCAGCACTGCATCCAGCTATCTTTATACATCATGGGAGAAATCCAAAGCTTGACAGGCCTGCTGTGCCTAGATACAGTTACTTGGACCACCACTGTTGAACTGATTCAGTGAAAGAACATTTGAGCTGCAGTGTGAACAAAGCCATAGTGTCAGTGCATCCAACTACATTTGCAGTGTAAAACACTGAACACAAGGTCAATGATTACACAACAAATTAAATCTGATAAGATCTGGAATGATAATGGAAAATAACATGCTCTGCTCTAACCTTATTGTGCCTTTGCCACATCACACAGTGCACTCATGAGACTATTAGCTCACATAGTCCTCCAGACATATGGATCCATTTTTCCAGGCCTTGACCACATCACTCCTTCGTTCTCTGTCTCTCCTGGGTTCTCTTTTCCTCCCATACTCTCTATACAGGAACAAGTGAGTACAGCACTTTTGCCCCTTCCCTTCCCCTCTGAAGTTCCAGCTGCTGTAGACAGACTAATGTATTCCCCAGAGCTGAGAGGTAGACCACAGTCTCTGGAAGGGACAGGGCATGGCTACCACTAAACTCCAACATAGAAAAGGAAAGAGAAAGGAGAGAGAAGCAGGATATTACACTGAGGGAAACGTTCAAAAATTCTCACTCATAAACTGGTGCAATTGTTTATTGATTATCTGTGGCTGCTTGAAAAGTGCTGACTTGGTGCAGTCAGCTTTTATTTAATAAGCAGAATGCTATGAAGAAAGAGTAAGGAACGGAGAGAAACACTGATGGAAGAAATGAATGAGGAAGCTGCAGAGAGGTGCATTCAGTGCCAGTCAGGATATGAATTTATAAACTCGTGCGGTGACTTAATACAAAATAGCCACCTTGTTGCTTGTGGATGTGGAAATTTCTATTAAAAACCAAAAATAAAATCTGAAAAACTTCCATCTAAACATGAACTATGTGGTTTAGTTTCTGTGCACTACTTCAGAGGGTTTGTATTCTAAAACTTTCATCTCTCTTTTACTCTTTATGGAACCACTGTGTAACAAGAGATTGCAGAGAAAAGGTGACTTTGTTCTCTTCACTCACTGTAACATAAAGGATAAGTTCATGGTAGGAAGGGTGGGTTCAGTCAATCATAGTACAACTGTCACATGCCCGTACATGCAGTATATTGAAAGAGTGACAAAACAGTCTCAAGAAGAGTGAAACAGACAAAAGCTCTGGAACGTGCGAAAAATGTAACTTTGAGTGTCAGGTGCTGCTTGGAAGGTCAAGGGTTAACTGTTAAGTTCAGCTACATGCTGTGTCATATCAGTGTATTCAGAGATTTGAAGATTTTTAACTGACTGTCATTTTGCTAATGAGGACTTGCATTTTGACTTGTCCTCAAGGACTCCAGGTTTTATCTGTGACTTGCTTTGATAGCACTCTGTCATCTGTACCTTCAGGATAATGTCCCTGAATAGAAAATAATAATATTTCAAAGGTGAAACTCTCTTTCAAAGTTATTACTCTTGAAATACCCTATAGCAACAGGTTTAGGTGACTATATTTACCCTTTACAATGTAATTCAAAATTACAGGTTTGCTTGCCCTCCTGCCCTCTCATTATAATTCACTCATCCTCTAATTTCCTCACGTATTAACTCTCACTAGCTCCACATCTCTCTCCCTCTTTCTGTCTTTCACACACACACACACACATCTCATTAGTAGAAATGCCATTTCCATTTATTTCATGTGGCCTTTCTAAAGTGCCCACAGGTTAACTGGGGCTTTATCCCCGACTCATGGACTGATAACCTGCTCAGACTTCACACAATGACTTATACTTATCAAAACAAAATACCCATGATGTTGGATGCATTTTCTCTGTATCTGTATGACACCATGGATACACAAACAGTCGCCCGTTGTGAATCAATCAAGTAAGTCATGAAGAGGAATGATACAAATGCATTTTAGCTGAAAGGCTGGAAAATATTTTGGCAATCACTAATTGAAGAAATGCTTCTGCCGGGACAGCAAGATATTTTTTATGCTTCTACAACATGAAGCATCTGTCCTTTCTGAATCTGCAACAACTGACTGTACATAGCACAGGCTGAACATGTGATGCCAACAAACATGGAAACTTCCCCAGCCAGGATGAATAAAAACAAAGCATCTGTCACTGCTCTTTTCCGCACTCGCCTTCACATTGTCGACTGAACAAAACCTGAATGTTTTGATGTCTGTTCAGAACTGTAGTTATGTGTAATACACCTTGAGTCGCTGTCATGAACGTCTATTCAGTTGTGTCCCGCAGGCATATGAGTGAGCTCCATAATGCATTCTGCTCTGCTATGACTCCCAGTCAAAAGGCTCTGGCTCTCTGCCACACATTCTTTCATATGATTGATGGCTGTGATTAACATGAATCCCTCAGACAGAGAAATAAACACAGACAGACAGGGATGTGGAGAGAATAACAGAGCAAATATAACACACATACAGTATGTTCCTGTGCAGCAAAGTGTAGACAGATACCTCGTTTCCTTCAAATGTCAACACTGGCTTTAAACGGGCCACAGGTTTTCATTTTTCAGTAATAAGTGACTGTCTCTGTAAGTTCCCTGTGAGAAGAACTATGAAATATTTGACTCTTGTTTTTGCAGCTTTTTGTGTCTGAATACAAAAGCTCATTAGCAAAACCAGCAGTTTACTCTTTTCATCCTGGAGGCTGGGCAATTCACATATAAAGGGAATTTGGAGGACTGTAGTACTTGACAATGTTATTTCTTCAATAGGAATATATGACAAAAGAATGAGGGTCAAAAGCATAGTTTTATATTGACCTGTATTGACAGTTGTGACTGTATGAGTAAATGTAATTCTCTGGGTTAAGAGCAAAATATACCACCTTCACAACAGGAAGCCAACAAAGAGAGAGATGAAGAAAGTTCAGCAGTAAATTGGAGTAAATTTATCCGCCAGCCTAGTTCTCTGGCTGTAGTAAACCAATCCCACCATGATAAGACAAAGAGTATATTTTGTTTATCTCATTTTGGAAAATACCCATTCTACTGTATATCAATACCACATTTATGTCTGTGTGCTAACTATGGAGCTAGAACAAGGTGTCAATTAGCTTAGCTTAGCATAAAGACTGTAAACAGAGGGAGTAAGCTAAACTGGGTCTCATTATAAATGTAAAAATGACCGGAGGAGTTCCATGGTCTAATTATTTCCTGGTGGAAATAATTCACTCTATGAAAAAAGTCTCTGAGAACTCTCTGAGAATAGCATATTTCCCAAAATGTCAAACTTTTCCTTTAAAGGACACCTGGCTGAGACAGGCAGCAACAAATCCAAGTGAGTCGAAATGGTATGGGCATTCAGGCACTTAGTTTGAGTATCATTTTACTTTCCCTGATGGCAGGGCACCTCCAACTACCGCTGTGCTAGTTTTCTCACTTTGCTGGACTTCTTACTGTTTAGCACTTTAACTGACCGGCATATCAATCTTGATGAGGGCGATGTCTGACTTCTCATCCACATCTTTGATTTTGGCATCGTAGGAGGCGCCGCTCTTTAGCTCCACTTTCACCCGGTGCTTATTGGCGACTACGTGTGCATTGGTCACAATCTGGCCGTCTTCTGACACAACAAAGCCAGAACCACTGGCCACTGCCACCTCCCGCTTGGAATAGGTCATCCTGTGTGAGGGAAGAGAGGTTGGTGAGAGGGAGGAGAAGGGAAAATAGAAGAGTGGTATTCACTCTTTTCACATTTCTTTTTCTAGAAAAATAAAGAGAAAAAACACCAAAACCAAAGCATGATGTAACAGCAGTGTAAGACTGAAAAGCTGAAAGCAAAGTTTAAAGTGTGAGTCTGCACAGTTGTGAAAATATAAAAGGTAAATATACAAACAACAAGCAGGTTAGTATTCAAATGTGACCTGGAGAGATTAATTATATATAAAAACAATAAGAGGGGTAAACAGACCCTGCAGCATTAATATACACCACCACCTCAAAGAAAATAGTGCTTTCAAGTCAACCTGAGGCAGCAATAGTGGAGCAGGGAAGAAACCAGAAGAGAAAAGACAGATCTAAGTGAAGGAAAGATGGAAGCGGCCGAGACAAAAAGGTGGAAATCAGAACGCTGCCAACATTCAAAGAGCCACTTTACAAACCACAGCGACAGATGGAACAGAGACGACACTGACAAGGAATCGGGGTATCAAAGCAGGATGAGATGCAGAGATAAAAAAAAAGCATAAAAGCTGATGAGACAATGAAAAGAAAGGCTGTTTAAAGACTGAAGTGGAGAGTAAAACGCTCTACTAGCTGGTGTGGTCTTATTAAATACACAGGTGGGATGTAAATTCCAATGTGTTTCAGTCTTTCCAATACACACATGCGCAGACACAGGTGCATGGCCCTTACTTGCGGTAAACTTCAATATGAACCACAGATGGAGCAATTCTCTCCACCACGTCTGCGATGAAGTTGTATTTGAGTCTTGGGCTGTCTGGGTTATCCTGAGCTGGAACTACAACACACACACACACACACGAAGGACATCAGACAAGCATGAACAAACAAGTGATGTACTGAAATACTCCATGATGTAAGAGTTGTGTGAGAACAGAAACCCAACAAACAAAACTGCCCTTTATAACACGTGGGGGAAATAAAAGATGACAGTTGATCTGCAGCTGAGACTGTCTAGGTCAGGTATAACACACACACACACACACACACTCATTTTCAAAGAACTAACCTTTGCTAAAACCTACTAAATAACTATTTAACCTTCACTGTTTACCTTAAGGCTGTGAATATAACAGGTATTTTGTCCAAACTAAACTGGTCCTCACAAGTAAAATACCACTTTCTCACACATATTGTCTGACACTGTATGCATGAGGACTGCCAAATTCACTGAATCACCCATCCCACCATCTATCCAGAACTGGGCAAGTCAGGAAATGTAGAGTGATTTACCTGGCAATTAGGTCCTACCCAGATGACAGTTTAACCAAAGGTATGACTCAAGACTCCTCAGATCTCATTTCATCCTTCCATTCACAAACCCTTATTTTGCCACATACCTCAAACCACTTAGTATCACAAGGGCAATTTTCAGTCATTACATTCTCCTAGAGGACAGAAATCACACATCCATAAGCCCTAGGGTATCACAGATTGTAGTTAAGAGTTAAGGGAAGAGAAGGAGACTTTCAGCTGGAGGTGCAGCTAAGCTAACAAGAAGCATGAAATGAGCACCATAACAAATACCACTAAATTATATAGTATGAAAAAATCTGTCACTAGAAGGGAAAATCTGTCAGTCTATGATACTGCAGTTCGATACAGGGGTGCTTAATTTGGTTTTTAGCACTAAACAAAAAGAACAGCTGAGGCTGATGGGACTGTCAACAGGTCATCCTGAGGGGACGAGCCATCCTATAGTTAACTGGACATTTCATAAGAAGCCAGAAATCAGAAATGTGAGTAGGTTTCATCATCTTGGATAGCATGAATGTCTGTACAGTTCAAGGAAATCAGTTTAATAGGTGCTGAGATATATTAGTCTGGGCCAAATGGTGGGCTGACTGACACTGCCATACCTGCAGTCATGGAACCACCCTTCTCCAAACTGCCACATATACTGGCCTTGAAATTTAAAGCTACAAACCAAGTATTGAATCTGAAAAATGTCACACAAGTTTCTCACAACACTCATCCTCCCTGTGCTAGCTTCATGCCCTGCGGGTTCGTGGTCAGCTTAGCTTGGACAGGATTACAGTTCAAGAGAGCAGGCCTAGCGCCCAGGATCTGTGTTTCTGAAGTGTCCTTACAGGCTCTTCCACTTCACCGAGTTATGAGTGCTGCCTCCTCACACACATGTGGGAATTTATTACCACTTCTACAAGCACAAAGAAAATGTCATGATAGCAGACTTATAGGTCCACTGGTGATGATTTGTCTCAGCTCACAGTCACTGTTAGCTGATTAATATGGTATTTAATATATACTATGTAATATATACAGATTATTTTACTGCTTAACCAAGCTCAGAAAGGCTTTGCTGTAGAATTAAATAGACTTACAAGGCACAGTGAAATGCAGCTGTCTCCTTAAATGTCAGAATATTAGTAATTCTTCCTTGTCACTGATGTATTGAGAAAAAAAAGGGATGTAAAGCTTTCTGAGTGTTTAAGCCTCATCATGCTTCAGTAAGATGTTTCTATTACTGAAATGATACCAGATCCTGACTCTGTTTACATAAAGATGCACATTAGTTTGCAAAGCATGCAGCTCAATTCACTTCAAAAGCTTGTGTGTGATTTTAATTAAAAGCAGAGAGAAGACTTACCTTCAGGCAATACACTGGAAAGCGCTGCCAGTTACAGTACTATTACACTATAGTATGAGCTAAAATTGTACCTGAGCTCAACTCTGACAAATTGTCTGACACTGTGCAAACATTTAGCCAGTGGATATGTTACCTTATATTAGATTAACAAGCTAATTATTTGTTGGGCGGTGACTCAGGGCAGAAGAAACAAGCTGTGGACACAACAATGACATTTCATCATCTTTTAAGTTAAGGCACAACTATTAGCAAATAGTTGCTTATGTGCACATAAATCCATTATGGAGCAGCATTCGTGGTGCTGTTATATTCAGTTGTAATATTCTGGACTGATGGTATGTAGAGTAAATTTTTATGGGACCATACAACAGCACAGAGGTTATGAAGGGGGAATGTGAAAATTCCTGTACATTCTAATGTACAAGTTCCAAACACAAGTGAGTCAAATACGAAGTTGCTCCTGAGGTCTCTGACTCAAAACAGACCAATAAACACTAATGGCACACTGACAAACTCAGAGTAATACATGTGATTTAGGGTGCTAATAAAGTCAAGATTTTAAAGGGAAGACATTTTGAGAGAGGGCTGCGGGGGTAGATCACAGGGAAATGACTACTATGAAAAGATGATAATAAAATTCAGCTTCGGTTAACAGTAACCAAATGTTTCAATGACTTTTCTGGAGTCGGTTCAAGCATTTAAACATTCAGTGAATGGAAAAACATTCAAACAATATTTTTAAAAAGAAAGTTCATATAAAGGCAGGCTCTTGCCATCTCATTCTCTCTCTCTCTCTCCCACACACACATTGTATAGCTCTTTGTGAGGACAAATAAATGCCTAATCCCAGTCCTTACCCTAACTCCCTCCCAACACTGACCTTTACCACAAGAGCCCCCTGCTCCAGATCTCAGCTTCTTTTCTTTATGAAATTTCCCATACATACAGTACTACCCACTGTTTTATTGGCACCTGGAGGCGGAAACAGTTTTTTCTTTTCCTCTGGAGAAAATAGATGTGAATACTGTAAAGTCAGCTCCTCTTCTTCATGTACTGCCACTCTTTGTGACACACCCTGATTCTCTACTTTTGGCCAAACTGAGGGCCATGAGAGCCATCCAAAACATTTAAAATGGAAATAGAATTTTCTGAATCTTTTCTATGGCAATAGGATTCATTGTCAGACACATGAGGTATATGATTTTTTTTTTTTTTTTTTTAGTGAACGAAGGCGGCACAGCGGCATGGTGGTTGGCACTGTTGCTTCACAGCAAGAACATTCTGGGTTCGAGCCCGGGTTGGCCTTTCTGTGCGGAGTTTGCATGTTCTCCCTGTGCCTGCATGGGTTCTGTCTGGGTGCTCCGGCTTCCTCCCACAGTCCAAAGACATGCAGCTTAGGCTGACTGGTGACTCTAAACTGCCCCTAGGAGTGAGCGAGTGTGTGTGGTTGTTTGTCTACATGTCAGCCCTGTGACAGACTGGCAACCTGTCCAGGGTGGACCCCACCTCTCGCCCAGTGTCAGCTGGGATTGCTCCAGCCCCTCTGTGACCCTGTTCAGGAATAAGCAGTATAGATGGTGGGTGGAAAAGGTCAATGTTCTATTGTTTTTGTTCTCATTTTAACTGGCCTTAGTGGAAACTAAGCTATAGGCAGAGCTCTTAGAATCATGGCAAGCATCATCACTGAGTTACAGTATGTGTTTGTCTATGTTATCCATCCATCCATTTTCTTCCGCTTATCCGGGACCAGGTCACGGGGGCAGCACTCTAAGCAAAGATGCCCAGACTTCCCTCTCTCCAGACACTTCCTCCAGCTCCTCCGGGGGAATGC